TGCATGTGCAGACATACCTTAAAGCTAAGTTCTGTGCATCTATCTAAACCTTACAAATTTATGATCTAAGAGTCAAAGAGCTGGTACCATAGGTAAGAAAAAAATCTTTTTTTTTTTTTTTTTTGGTTTTTCGAGACAGGGTTTCCCTGTGGCTTTGGAGTCTGTCCTGGAACTCGCTTGGTAGACCAGGCTGGTCTCGAACTCACAGTGATCCGCCTGCCTCTGCCTCCCAAGTGCTGGGATTAAAGGCGTGCGCCACCAACACCCGGCCAAGAAAAAAATCTTTAAATTTTAAACATGACTACATAATAAGCAATATTAATTTAATCTCAGAGCAGTTATGTATGCCTCAAAGTGTATGGACCTTCAAAAGCCAGACTAAAGGAAGCTGAAATTGAAAGAAAACATTCCCACTGCACACTGTCAACCGCTGTATTTCCTTAAATGGAACTAGCATTTACATCAGTAACTGAACTCTAGTGGATGGTCTGGGGATTAAATCTTTGTGAACATCTGGGATTATTTCATTTGGATAAAGTATCAGAAAGGTCTTGAAATTCTAAGTTGGGTTTTCTATCTGAAGAGAAATAAACCATACTGAGGGAGGGAGGGAGACTGATGGGTCACTAGCATTTACACTGGGGATAATAAAAAGTCTTCAGGTCAATGTCCTTACTTCTCCCACAAAACTCTGCAGTTAGGCCATTACTCAATATAAATAGCCTCAGATGAGTCTAAAAGTTGGACTATAAAAAGATATCCCTGCCCTACAGTAGCAGAAAAGGAGGAGATGGGTGTGGAACCTGCAACAGCAGCAACAGTAGCAGCACCCTGTCTGTTATTATGACATGTATGACATCATAGATTATCCATAGAAAAACAGTATTCAACACTCACAATATTGCACCTCATTTCATGATATGGAAAATGGCTACAAAGCAATATATAAAGTTAGAAACTAAAATATTTTCTACATGTATATGAAATACACAATTAAATGTTAACAATAATCATTTCTGGGTATAATTCTTTTCTTTTTGCTTATCTGGATAGATTTTCTGTAACAAACATGTCATTTCTACTATGAGGAAAACTATTATAGTGTGAAAATGAAGACTAACACACATGAAATAAAGAAATAGAAGGAAGACATTATTACCATTATTTCAGCTTCAAGTGGGGACAAAGTTACCCAAATTATAGAAAATGGGAGAGCCTTGAATTGAAAACTCATAACACATCATGAACAAATTGGACAACGCAAAGAAGGTAAGCAAGAACTGAGCGGGAATGAGTGAGAGAAAACTCAGGACTGGACTAGTGTTAGATACTGAAATTTTAGATTTGTGTGGGTTTAATCAAAATGGAGCAAGCAGGATGCTTCCCTCATTACCTGGATGAAAATGGAAATGAGCTAAAATGATGGAAAGAATGGTTTGTACTGTACACATTCAGGAAAACATTTCCCTCTGGAAGGGAATGGATGTAATGACCTTCCTGACCCCAATCTTCTCTGTACCTACATCCTTCCAGGACCACTAAAGAGCAAAGAATTGCAGCAGACACCTGCAACCTAGATGCAGAACCAAATATCTGGCACACAAGCTGATTGAGTCTTAGGTAATTTCCAATCAAAACCTTAATTCTCATGCAAACACCAGGAGTTTTAAAATCCCTATTACTGTTCTTTCTCTAAAATCTCCTAAACTTTTTTTTCTTTAAGAAAGTAGGACAAGATGAGGGTGTCTCCATTCGGGAGGTAACCACAACACAGAATGATATCTGCATCTTCAGTACCAACCCCCCCCCAAAGCAGATTCATCCCAGTGCTTTTGTGATATAGAATGAGATCATCTGGTCAGGTAAGAAAGCTAGCCAAGAAGCTTTGGTCAAAAATCCCCAAACAGTATATAAAACATGATAAAATGATTAGAAGAGTTTCAACTGGAAATTATCTAAGACTCCATCATCATATAGGTCAAGTGACGGATACAGGATCTGGCTGGGTACTTTCTTAATCTCAACTGGGATTAGTTAATCTCAATAACTGGGAATAATTAATCATAATCTTAATAGTTTCTTTTGCACTGTCTATCAAAGGAAATGCTGAAAACATTAATTATTAATGTCAACAGGTGACCAGTAGTTACCCTCTTAATGGCAAATAGACACATTCCCCCCTGCAAACCTTGGAGCTATATTAAAATCTTTCCTAAATGCCCCTCATATGTGCAATGATCATGAACTTCCCAGAGTTCTAGAGTTTCATTCTTTAGCTTCCTAAACTTTCTGTCATACAAACAGAAATGCACACAAATGACATTTGCCAGTTTTGTCTATGTCTATCGGTGTAGAGGCAAAAGGCATTTTATCCTTTGTGCCAAGCCCAAAGACAGAAGCAGCTTGCTGTCAACTTCAGAGACCATTTTTTTTAACAATCATTGCATGCTGTCTTAAGCCAACTAAACACTAAAGCACGCTGGGCTGCCCACACTGCAAATTATGTGGAATGTTCTCCATGTTTTGTGGTTGCAAAAGTACTGATTTTGTACATCATCCAGTTCAAATTAAAGACACATCTGACCTTAAACGGAAATTCCCCAAGCAGCTTAAACTGTAACTGACCAAGATCCCATCAGCTTCAAAAGGCTGTGAACTTTCCTAGTCAAACATTTCAAATGTGATATTTTTTTAAGCTAAACAGACATAAAGTAAATTTTGTGGAACTTTTTAATGTATTTCAAGAGAACACTAAGAACTCACACTAATCTTGGTTGTCAAAAGCGGGATGGGGAGATTATGATAAATGCCACTTGTAGCAATGTAAAAGGCATTTACAGCAACAGCACATGTAAATGTATTTCCCAAATACCCAACAAATTAAAACCAAAACAAAAACACTCTAATGGGTTATTGATTCCTCCTCTGGTGTGCATGCAGATGCTGACATTCCAAAGCATCCACTGCAGAAGGTGACGGAGAAATATTCCAAAGGAGGAAGATCTTGTTACCCTCAATAGTGACTGCAGCAGTGCATTGTGGGTACAACCCAAGCATCAGTGAGCCACTCTTAAATCTAACCGCAAAATCCATCAACACTGAAGGGGTTGAAACAAAGGTTTGGCCTCTGAGGTCATCTAAGTTGTCAACTTGTGGAATATAACTGGAGGTCATTTCTGATGTGCTGAAAAAAAAAAAGCTGAAATACTATCTTGACAAACTAAGTTTTATCTAGAGATTCACCCACTAATGGCAATTTTTTGAAGCTGAGGAATGTCTGATTCAGTCACCCAGTGGTGGGATCACTTTACTAGATAAGTGTGTGCTTAAAATCATTAGTATCTGGCATACTGGTCCAAGCTTTAGAATAGTTCGAGTATGTGTTAGAAAATAGTATTCTTTGACTAAAATGTTCAAAGAAAACAAATCCTAATTTTAGCTTCTAATCATTTATATTTGCTGTTCTTAGTGAGTATATATCATTGTGTCCCTAGTTTTGCTGTGGCCAGGTGACAGAGAGATAGATGACAGATAGATACATGATTATGTATGACATCATTATAATACCTACATAAATCCATATGAATTCTCACATATGTGTACAGTGAAAGGATCTCAAAAAGAATCCTCCTAAAATATATGTCCCAAGTCAAATACCTACACAAATCTCAAAACAGTCATACTAAGTACAGTTCTAGGAACTCAGTCACAACCATCTTCAGAACATCAATTCTCACCATCTTGCCTGGAGTCCAACCAACTTAAGGGACAACTGTAGCCAGAGTTAGTGTTTTAAGTTATGTGACTTCTGGACAAATTTCTCCAAGAATGTTGACTGACAAACCAGAAAATGCTTAAAATATTATTTTAAGTTTCAGTTCTGGGATATATGATAGTAAAGTGACAAAATTATATGCCACGATGAAAATCAATCCAATATTTTTACAAGTATCGGTGGCTGTTTCTGTTACTTCAAAACTTTCATGCTACAGATACGGCATTTCCTCCGCTAAGGAACTATACGAGTAGCAAGTATCATTCCTCCACAAAACTGTACATGAAACACATATCTATGAGCTTCCTTTCAACATTTCAGGATTCTTTAAGGGCTAGTGTTTAATTTTTATTGTTCAAAGTGGACTAGGTGACACAATCCATTGTGTGACTAAAATGTGGGCTATGTGGTACCATGTAACACAGCACCCAACTGTCAGCACTTTTGATTTCCATCTGACATCAGATCACCAAACTAACTGGAGGAAGGTGAGCATGTGGGGCTTCCTTCACTTAGGGGGCACGAGGAGAAAGACCGTGCATGTAGTAATTGAACTTTTACTAGGTTTTACTAAGTGATCACTTACCTCCTTCAAGGATAAAACTGAAGAAAAGTCATATCATGCAATAAACCAGGGTTTGTTTACCATTCTTAGAAAGATTACTTCTAAAATCCTTAAGAAGTTGCAGCATTCTTAATCAAAGACATGATGAAAAGCAAATTGGTCGATAAACAAAGAAACTCCCGTTTAAAAAAAAAAAGATACCGCTAAACTCACCCCTACCTCACCGGGGAAAAGTGCATCCCAAGGCGGATGTCCATATTTCCTAAATATTCTAGACTGACTAAATATTTCATGAAAGACTAAACGATCACTTTGAAAACTGGGCCAGCACCGGGGGAAAAGCTGTGTGGCTGAGATTTTTTCTAAACAGCCTGGCGAACACGCTGAGTCTGAGCCCCTAATGGAGAGAGCCCAGGGCGAGAAAGTTCCCGAGGGTCCCAGTCCTCTGTGAGGCGCTGCTCGCCGGGGCCCTGGCTGGAGCGCCGGCGATCAAGGAGGCCCGGAGCAGCGCCGAGCGTCGGGTCGCCCCGGAAAGCCGCGGCCCCGCCGGGAGCCTCTCCGGGGCGCTGGCTGCCGAGTCAGCCCGGTGCAGCCGCGGGGACCCGGGAGAGCCGCGCTCCGCGCCACCAGTCCACCCGCCCGCCCGGGACGCGCTCGCACCTCGCACAAAAGGCGCTGCGGCGGGAGCGCAGGGAGACGCCGGCCGCTGCCTCCTGGAACTTTGCGGACATCGCAGCGCAGCTCCTCAGCTCCGAGCCCCGAGCGCAGGAGGAGGCCGAGGCGGCGGCGGAGAGTCGGGACATCGCCCGGCAGTGCCTCCGCCTTGCCGGCTGCCGACGGCCCCCGCCCCCGGGTACCCAGCGCTTGCTCTTAAAGGCGCCCACTGCCGGTTAGGCCGCGAGGTAAGGGAGCGGAGAGGAGTGGGGAGGAGGCAAGGAAAGGGGGAGGGGGCAGCACAGACAGGATCCCGGGAGGCCACCGCAGTCTAAACTCAGACTCCTCCCGCTCCAGGACCCCAGGTCGCCTCGCCCAAAGCTCCTGGGTTAAAGCTTTCTAAGGGAGTTCAGTGCTCAGAGACTGCACCGAGGACGCCTTGCCGCTGCTGCCCCGGGAACCTCGCTTTTACTTGGACTGCCCACACCCTGTTAAGGTCTTGACCAAACACTCCTACCTCTGTGCCCCACTCGCTAAAAATCGCTGCCCTGTAGGACTGTTTTCCTCCACTGAGTGTGCAGCCTTCCTTTCTGCTTCCTCATATTCAACACTTTGGAGCACTTCAGACTGAAGACCCTTGGACCCCTACGCTTACCACTGAAGGAGTCTTGGAAGTGTCGTCGCAAATACACCTTGCTTTGACTCATGCTCTCTGTTCTTTCTACAGCCCCTTGCCAGGTGGCCTCCAGCCTGATTGCCAGAACCTCGGCCTTTCATGATCATCAAACTGGCCTCAGGGAGACCCTAAAAGAAAGATTTCACCTTCAAATTTCAATAAAACTGCTTTTGAAATGCAGTGTCCAAGTGTATTTCTTAACCATCATCAGCGTTTGTGGCGACAGGCACGGTGGAGAGTCCAGGATGCTCAGAGCATCAGCAGTTGCTCTGAGCCCACAGCAGACCGGCATGAGGGACCATTCGTCGAAAGCTACTCTTCTGTCTCTCGGTTCCAACCCTCGATTCTCGGTCCTATGAGGCCACTCTGAGGTAGACAGGAAAAATGAGGCAATTGGGAGTTATGATCCAGCCTGGACTCCAAAGCATCGGTCCCAGTGAAGGACTCTGAGGGTGTGAGTGACATCTTCTAAATCAAAGAACTTGCACCTTAAACCCCTACCCTCAATCTACTGGGTTCTTCTCCTCGGGACACTGTAGAGCGCGGGGACTGGAGGCAGGAAGCAGAAGCAGTTTTTGTTAGCAGATGGAAAGGAGCTAGACCTCAGGTTTTATAAAAATCGGTGGAGGAGGCCTGCATGCAGCAAGAGTAAAGAGAATAGCATCATAAAATAATCAGGCTAGTCGGATCCAATAATCAGGACCTAACTCTACGTGACTTAAGAAAGCCTACAGCGCAGAGCGTAGAATTTATTGACTCATACATTTATTAAAGACTAATAAGTGACCTAGTCAGAAAAAAAATCTTTTCAAATTTCCTTTCAAAAATAAAATTTTCTTCCAGACGTTTGAAGGGCGACTTTAAGATGGCTTCTCTTCCTATCTTGCCTGTGGTTTCCATTGTACCGTTCTGTTTTCTCTAAGCCGGAGCAAGAACTGTAACTCCAAATGTAGTTCCACACTCCTAACAGGGGATGCCTTCAGCCGGCCAAGGAGCCTTGGACCACTGTGATCCTGTACTTACCTCTGACCTGGCCATTGAAACCACAAGATGGAATGTACACTACCAGGTTGGGGTCCTTTGCCTGTGTCTCAAACAAACAAAAAATGTCAAGGGAGTTAGCTCTAGTATACCAGTTTCCATACACACCCAAACCACAGGCACTGAGTTGAAGACATTCCCTAAAGGGAAATTAAAGTTTTGCTAGTCAAAGGGTAAGTATATCGACTAGATGAACACCATAGATACCCAATACAACCTCTTTCTCCAGCACCTTGCATATACCAACACAGGTACTGATTGCCTGTGTAACACAAAAAAATAAATGACCCAGAAATGGATATTAGGATTCAAGCTGGAAATCGGGGGAGCAAAGCAGCCATTAGCTCTCACCTCTAGCTCAGGCTGAAAGGGCTCATCCATGTATGAGCTCTTCACCACGTGGCAAACTGCTACCTCTCCCCAGTGTGGCTGGAGAACAAATGCCTCTCTGAGACCTTGCTTCTGTCTTATATACTTCCCTAATGTTGGGAGTAAAGGTGTGAGCAAAAATTCTCTTTTAGACTGAGTCACTCTTGTGTAGATCTGGGTGGCCTTGGACTCACGTAAATCCATCTATTTCTTAATCCTGAGTCCTAGGATTAAAAGTGTGCACCACCACCTCCTAGCTTCTGGCTGCTGGGATTAAAGGTGTGTGCCTTGTTTCTATAACTTGTGGCTGACTTCACTTTCTGAATCCTCAGGCAAGCTTTAATAAATCATAAATAGTATGTCACTATACCTGTGTCCTTTACCATTAGTCTTAAAACAGGAAGAAGAAGAATATTTATGGCCATGACGTCACAAATTGCTGAACCGGGTACCCATGTCCTCAGCAGCCATTGAAAACATCTGTGTAACAGTGTAACAAACTGTGAACAAACTTCATCTGAAAATTTTTATTTGACTATTCCACTTAACCTATGGTACCTTTGTCAACATATAATCCCAGCCCCGATTCACTAATGGATCTTGTATTTTTATGTCATCCATTCCAGTACACAACAGTCTATAGAAATTTTTTGCATATATGTAGTCATTAATAGGAAAAGATAAAGTCCATGAATAAACACAAGGACACAGGGCCCAACTTCATTTTTATACTTTAATATTTAATAACTTTTCAGGGCTAGAATGGAGGAATTGATGTTTTCCTACCCAAAATGTCATCTCCCAGGCAGGGAAGATGTGGGTAAAAGTGATTGTCACCCAAGCCTGATGAACTCAATTTGACCCCCAGGACTGATGGCAGAACCAACTCCCCAAAAATTATTCTGTGACCATCACAAAATTGCCACAGCACGAATACAGCCACACTCATTCACACATAGAACGTAATAAAATTTAAATGTGTCGGCTTCCACTTGCTTCTTCCTCCATGTGAAGCTTTCAAACCTTCACAGATCTAAACCATTTTGCAATTTTCTCTTCAGTTGTAAATGTTATAGAATTCCTTACATGTCATATCTGTAAATCTAGAAGAGACTTTAGGGTAACCTAAAACTTCTCTTTCATTTAAGAAATAAAGAAAATCTCAACAGCTGGGTTGTTCAGGGCCACAGGGATATTCTCGGTATCAGTTGCGTGCCTCCTAGTAAATGTACAGAAGCAGTAATGTCTACTGCGATCATAATCCTCATGAAATTAAATTTAGCTAAGGAGACATGACCCTCCAAGGCATAAAGCAATTACCGGGCATCACAGTGCATCATATAATTTGGTGTGGAAACAAATGATGAGGGGAGATGGCTCCACCAGCAAGGCACTTGTCATGCATACACAACTTCCGGTCACCAGCACTCATGTAAAAGCCAGGCATGGCGGGATGAGCCTAGAATTCCAGCCTGGAGAGCAGAAAAAGGAGGACCTCTGGACCTTGCCAGTCAGCTCCAGGTTCAGTAGGACTCCCTATCTCAACAATAAGGTGGTTTGAGAAGGATTCAGAGTCCCGTCCTTGACCTCCAGCCTCCACGGAACACATCCACACACATACACATGCACACACCCGGACACAGTCACACATGTACGATAAGCTCTGCGTGTTAAGAATAGGTATCAGAACACCCTGGGGAAACCCACAAAAACAGCTGACCTGAGCAAGTGGGAGTTCATGGACCCCAGTCTGACAGCTGGGGTGCCAGCATAGGACTGAGAACCAAGACCCCTGAACGTGGGTGTCAGTTGGGGAGCCTGGGCAGTCTGTGGGGCCTCTAGCAGTGGAACCAGTATTTATCCCTTGTGCACAAATGGGTTCTGGGAGCCCATTCCCTGTGGAGGATACTCTCTCAGCCTAGATACATGGGTAGGGCCTAGGTCCTGCCCCAAATGATGTGATAAACTTTCATGATCCCCCATGGAAGAGTGGATGGGGGGTGAGATAAGGGGAGGGTAGAGTGAATGGAAGGATAGGAGGGAGAAGGAACTGGGATTAGTATGTAAAATAAGATTTTTTTAAAAATTTAAATAAAAATTAATTTAAAAAAAGAATAGGTATAAGAATAAACACTATAGATGGAGCCATCTTGGAGGTGATTTTTTCTTGTTGTTGTTGTTTTTGTTTTTCAAGACAGGGTTTCTCTGTGACTTTTGGAGACTGGAACTAGCTCTTGTAAACCAGAGTGGTCTCAAACTCACACAGAGATCCAACTGCCTCTGCCTCCCGAGTGCTGGCATTAAAGACATGCGCCACCATGGCCTGGCTTGGAGGTGATTTTTGTTTGTTTGTTTGTTTGTTTGTTTATGTTGTTCCCCAGTTGCAAAGTCCCCAGAGACCACCAGGAAGACCCACCAAAAACTGCAAAAGCAAGGTTTAATGATTGTTCATCCAACTATGACAGGGACCCCATCTAGCAAGCTGACCAGCAGCCTCCAGAGGGACTTCCCTGTCTACTGCTAGGTTTTAAAGACAAAAGTTACAGGATTACATCAGTAGTTCCGGATTGGTTTCTGATTGGTTGACATTTGGGAACAATTAGGAGAATTTCTCAAAGTCATTATTTTGGCATGAAATACCTGTGTACCAATTATTTTCATTGGTCAGTGCTGAGAGGGAACATTCTGTGATTTCTATGGCATTGTCTTGTTACTTGCAGGTGGCCTGTTGTACATAGATACCAATAGTTTTTAGAACTATATCCTGGAGTTTCTTTTGTGGCCAAACAGTTCCCAGGAACCAAGCATCTAGGAGGCTGGATGGGGAGTGGGGGAGGGAGGATCTGGAGTTTCTTTGTGTTCAGTTTTGGCCCTAGACTCTGGAAGGCCAGAGGTTCTGGAGTTTCCTTGTGTCAGAGGCCTATGTGTCTTTTCTGTAGACTGCCATGACTACTAAAGCAGGGGGCTGAGGGAGGGTTCTGGTCCTTTTATTTCTAACTTATTAGAAGTGAAGCCTTTTGAGTTTAGCTTACCCCTTTCAGTTGTTTGTCAAGGAAGCAATTTGGTGACCTTTAAAGACATACAAAGAAGAAAGGAAGGTCCTAAGTGAGAGAATAAAATGAGAAGGCCTTGGTGGGGAAAGTTATTGCAATCTGTTGGAGTAGAAAAGAGTTTTGAATTTTTATGTCTTAGAAAGTTGTCTCTAACAGTCCTGAAATCATTTCACTGGCTAACACCACTATCATTTTCTGTTTGTGTTGGGGGCAGGGGACAGACTGGGAATCTCACCTGGTGCATCATATGTGCTAACCAAGTGCTCTACCACAAGGGAGCTCCTCTGGACTCCACCCTTATTGTTTTAATTACACAAAGTAAAAACCTGGGTGCTATTTTAAAATATTTACTATTTTTAAAATACTGTTTGTTAGTACTTTCTATTATGCATTTTGGAGTTATGTAAATTCTGTCTTATTTTTCAGCCATGTTCAAAATAAGTTCAAAAGCCTTGCTTCTGAAGTCAAATAAACTAGATATGAAACTAATTTTGTGGCAAGATATAAAGCAAATAGCATCTTTCCAGGAACTGGTTTCTCACTGGGTAAAGGTAGCACATAGCTATTTCCCTAGCAACTAGAAGGCTGATGCAGAAGGATCATGAGTTCTAGGGTAGCTGGAACAATGTACCAAGCCATGTCTCAAAGGGAGAAAAAGAAACCAATCTCCGTATGTATCCAATGTTTACAGCGTAGCCAGGTACACATGATAAGGCCTATAAATGGTTGCTCTCATTTGCTGGCTAAATTGAAAATTTTCAACCCTGGCTATGCATTAGAACCACCCGAAAGCTTATTAAAAATAGCCCCTGGGGTCCAGCCTCTGTGAAGCCAGACAGAGGTGAAACAGAATTTCCCTGGGGTCAGATTCACCATCATGCCTGAGGCCCCCAGGATGTGCACACAGCAGAACTCATCTGGAACTAAGGAATGAGATGATGCGTGTGCTCTTTCCTCTGTATGTACAGTGACTTTTGACCCATATTTCTCTTTCTGCTCCAATGCTACAGCACGTAGCAGGCAGGTGGTAGACTTCTAACTGTTTTCTGCCTCTCATTGATCCTGAAACATCCTCAACTGTGGTGCACGCTGCATGTGCTTTAGCTCAGTCAGGAGCACAACATGAATCCTAGGTCATAATCTCATTTGTGCTCTCCACATGGACAATTTATGGGCAGTTATCAGCACATGGGCATCTCTGGAGAAGTTAATAGAGAAGAAAACACCAAAAAAAGTCCTCGGGAAGAGGAGAAAGCCTAGAAGCAAATGGTCTTGAAAATCCATGCCCTGGGTATTAAAAAATCACTCATTAATTGTTAGCTATTTGGATCCTCACTATAAATATGATGTGCATACATACACATATATAGCCCCTTTTAAATATAGCACTGATGTACTTTTTCTGCAATTTTATATTCATTAATTCCTCTGAAGTGTGCATAACTGTACCAGTTACTTTTCTGTTGCTGTGACAAAACACCATGACCAGAAACACTGTAAGATGCAACATTTAGGGCTGGAGACATGGCTCAGAGGCTCTTCCTGAGGTCCTGAGTTCAATTTCCAGCAACCACATGGTGACTCGCAACCATCCATAATGAGATCTGGTGCCCTCTCCTGGAATGCAGACTTCCTATTCACCCTCCTGACCTGAGACAAAAGCCTGGCAGTTTAAAAACAATGCCTGTAGTCTTTTTTTCTACTGCCTGTAGAGCCCCCCCACCCCACTCTCCCACCCTACCCCCCACCCCACCCAACCCCACCCCCACTGATAGAGAGGCTCAATAAGTCTGAGCCCTGATCAGGACCTGTTTACAGCTGTGGGCCAATCAGCCATCCTGTCTTTCATCTAACTGATCAACACTAAATTAGTGGAGGAAGACTCTTGATGAGAATAAATAAATAAATAAATAAATAAATAAATAAATAAATAAATAAAGCAAGCCACATATAGGAGTTGAGGTTTTCAGCACTGGTTCTTAGTCTCTGTGTGTCTGCGCATGCCTGAGTTTCCTCACTCCCAGTAAAAGCTTCTCTTCATTCGATTTGTCTGCTGCTGTCTGTGGAGTCTGAAACTTCTCCACAGCAACCTGTTATACATACTGCAGTTTCTCTTCTGCCTGTTAATTCTTTAGCTGGCAGAGAAAACAAGCAGGGACAAAACTCCTAGAGAGTAATGTTGTGGGTGGGGATAAGAAAAAAAGAAATGGTTTCCTTATCAAACCAATAACAATTGAAAAAAACCAGACTGTAAAAAATAATAATAAAAGACATTTAAGAATCATAATAATTAAGTGCATTGTGGGAACTTTGTGTTCTGTTTTAAAGGAAGGGTCAGGTCCAAAGTGGGCCCCCAAAGTGGTTTTTTTTGTTGTTGTTTGTTTTAACAAACTGTTAGTCCAAAGTGGGCATTGTTCATGACAGGAAGATCGAGTCTGGGATCAATAGAGGACAGCAAGAAAATAGATACCTTAATAAAGGGAGCCATTATAGTTTTAAAGAGAAATCTGGCACTAGGGAAATGTCCAGAGATCTACAAGGATGACTCCAACTTAGAATCTAAGCAACAGTGGAGAGGCTACCTTAAATACCCTTCTCCTATAATGAGATTGATGACTACCTTGTATGCCATCATAGAGCCTTCATCCAGTAACTGATGGAAGCAGAAGCAGAGACTCACAGCAAAGCACTGAGC